TAAGACCTATAGACAATGAGATTTGTGGGCCGTTGTTCAGACTTTTCTATCATTTATTTTTGCATTGTTTTAATAAACGATACATCTAATATGTACTTCTTCTATTTCAAATTATAAGTTATTTTTGTTTTTTTATGCATATCTTTTGCTATGTAATGTCTAATGCTTAGTAAAATGTATATATAGGAAAAAGGAACTATATACCGATGAAAGCTTAAACTTAACCATCACTCTCGACTATTCCTCCAAAGTGACGATCACTCAATTTTTGTTTGGATTCAGGGGCTAGAGCTAGTTTGTGCTAGTTTGAGCTCAACTAGCCCAAAAGTATCCAAACAGGAGGGCTAGAGTGGGTTATTTGCAACTAGCCCACCCCAAAAAACCATCCCCAAAAGAGGTGATTATTTGGTCTAGTTCTGGTGGGGTCCACTAGAAACTCTTATTTTTTTATTACTCCACCCGCACCGGATCCTCGCGACTCCCATCCCCCCATCGTGACTCGCCTCCCCCCATCGCGACTCACGCCGCCGCCGGGTCCCAACCGCGCCGCCGCCGCTTCAATCCGCCAAAGGAGCAGCACCGGCGGCCCCCCGGAGGTGGATCTCGGTCGCCCGCGCCGCCTCCCTCCCTCCCGCCGCGCCCTTCCCCTCCGTCTCCAAGGCCGCCGCCGCCGTAAGCTCCGGCCACAGTAGGTCGCCTCCACCGGGCCACTTGCTGCGCAGGTGAGAGTGAGCCATGTCTCCGTACCTCCAGATTGGCCCCGCTCTGCTGTGCTCTGATCTGATCTAGAGAAGTTCGCCATGGACGGAGACGGATTCGACAACTTGTGGAGCTCGCAGCTGCCGGGCGCGGCGGCCCGCCGCCACGCCCGGTCTCGACCTCAACTTGCAGCGCCCGGTGGCGGAGGGGTTCCCGGGCTTGGGCCAGTGTCGGAGACTTCCTCCAGGGCGACGACGTCGAGCTCCTTCCTGGATGCGGCAGGGGCTCCGGCCTCCCTCCCTATCGCCCACCGCGTGCTAGAGCAGGAGACATGTGGGAGACTCCGGCGCCCCAGCATGCCCGACAACTACTCTTTGGCGGCTCCTCCTTGGCGACAGCCGGTCATGGAGGAGGAAATGGTGGCGGCTACACCGGTAGGTCGTCGTCGGGGGCAGGCGGTGGTGTTCGGCAGCGCGCGAACTCGGCCGCCGCAGTAGCCGGCCGGCGTCCCCAGCGCACCAACACGGCTTCCCGTGGCAGCGGTGGCCAGGGCGTACCGCTTCCCCGAGCACCGAGGGCACCGAGGAGTGGCGTCCGTGGGCAAGCATCCGGCTCCGGCGCTACCTTCGACATTGACAATGAAGCAATGGAGGATAACGTGGAGGAGTTAGCGAGCTCCGGCGGTCCCCCGGTGAGCCATGCCAGTCGAGCCCAATGGAATGATGCAAATAATGCTTGCTTGTTAGAATTGTGCATAGAGCAACGTAGAGCAGGAACGTATAATGGTTCACAAATGAGTGGTGAAGGGTACCAAGCCGTTGTCGATGGCTTACTTGCTAGAAGAAGGTTGGTGTACACCCGTGGACAAGTGAAGAACCAAATAGGCGTACTAAAAAACACCCACGCTTTCTGGCGCTACTTGCAAATGCACACAGGGTTGGGGAGGAGACCAGATGGATCCATTGATGCAGATCATGATTTCTGGCTAACTCACACAGAGGTACAATATTCCTTAGCATATTTTTGTGCTCTCATATCTTAACTAGTATTAACTAGTATGCTTGGTTACTCTATGCTTGCTTCAAATTTGATCAATGCAAGTCGTTGCACATAGGAACTTATCACCGCCTTCTGCTTTTTACTTGGTCGTACATGCTTTGTTATCCTTTCGCTTGGACTGCCTTCTGCTTTACTTGGTTGTACATTAGTGAGTGTGAACTGCAGCAACAAATTTAGTGCGTGTGAAAAAATGATGCTTGTGCTATGTTGTGGTGCCCGATTATACATCTTTATTGTAAATAAATTTGATATTCTCCTGTCATAACTAGTTTCTAATCAACTTTTGTGCTCTCATATCTTAACAGAAAAAACCATACCTAAAGAAGTTACTGACGAGTCCTCTAGCAAACGAGGACTTGCTTGATGAACTGCTCGAGGGTACATCAGGATGGCACCACAACCTTTGTGCCCTGGTGATGATTATGGTGACAATGAGGGCAAGATGCAAGGACGTAAGAAGAAGAAGAAGAAGAGTTTGCACAAACACCTACAAGTAGAAGCAAAGGAGGAGTCGAGGGGGCAAGAGGGCATTGAATAGCACTACAAGCACTTTGACCAGTCCAAAGAAGAGGAGCAAGAGCCCAATGGTGAAGATTGTGAAGGACATAGCCAAGACCTTCAAAGAATGCATTGCGACCAACACTAAGCAAATCGAAACGCACAAATGACAAGGCTGCATTTTCTGTTAAGAGGTGTCGAGGAGCATTTGAGTGTGGCGTTGAGAAAACCGTTGACTCTGTCTATGCTATGTCCAAGATGTTCGAAACAGAGTACCAAAGGGAGTTCTTCTGTGTCTAGTTAACTCCTAAGCTTAGGTTGGGTTACTTCAAGAAATGGTGCAGGGACAACAATTTGGAGTAGTTAGGATCTTTTGGGTCCATATGTGTTGAACCTATCATCTATGTGTGAGGTGTAGAACTATTATATGTGTGTGTGAACTATTATCTGTGTGGTGTAATGATCCTTTATGCTATGTGTTGAACCTATTTAAATTAATCTATGAGCTGTGATGTCAAGTGCTGAAGTATTAATTTGTTGAATTAATTTGCTTACCCTGGTTCAAGTTTTATGCTATGTGCTGATAGTTTGTTACATGTGTTGAAGCAGGAAGATGATCATGGCCCCATGATTGAGGAAGAAGATGATGGAGGCAGCTCAAGTGAGGATGAAATTATATCCATGTGCCGCAACAATTTGGTGCAACAACAAAATTTGATTGTACAGTTGGTTTCTATCTTGGGTATGTACTCTGATAACTACTTCCTGAAACTACCTAAGAGGGTCACTGGAGATTCTGGTTTGGATTGGGTGCATGAGACACTAGCCCGAGAAACCCAATGTTACAACATGTTTAAGGTTGAGAGACCTTTATTTTATAGGTTGCATAATACTTTGGTCCAGAGGTATGGGTTGAAGTCCACTAAAAAAATGACATCTGTAGATGCTCTTGCTATGTTTTTATGGATTGTTGGTGCACCACAGTCAGTTAGATAGGCTGATAATCATTTTAGGAGGTCTTTGGAGACAGTAAGCAGGACATTTAACAGAGTTTTGAGGTGCTTCCTTAGGTTAGCACATAACAACATTAAACCCAAGGACCCAACATTTCCAGAAGTGCACCCAAACTTAGAAAATCCAGCATTCTGGCCACACTTCAACTGAGTGCATAGGAGCTATAGATGGGACATATGTGAAGGTTGTGGTGGATAAGAGTAAGAGAGTTCCATACTTGAACAGGCACAATGAGACCAGTTAGAATGTGCTTGCTGTTTGTGATTTCGACATGAGATTTACCTTTGTGTTGTCGGGATGGCCTGGTTCAGCACATGACATGAGAGTTTTCAAAGATGCCATAACTACTCATCATCACAAATTTTCACATCCACCACCGGTTTGCTACTTGAACTTTCTTGCAAAATTTTTATCCAATTACACTTGTTCATCTAAGTCTCATTGTGTGCCTTTGAAAATATGTAGGGAAGTATTATGTGGTTGATGCGGGTACCCAAACCGGCGGGCTACCTTTCACCATACAGATATATACAAAGGTACCATGTGGAGCAATCATAAAACGGCCCGCCACCAAAGGTATGAAAGAAACCTTCAACCATGCACATGCCAAAGTTAGGAATGTCATAGAGCGAACTTTTGGAGTGTTGAAGATGAAGTTTAGGATTTTGTTGAACATGCCAAGATTTCCAGAGGAGAAGCAAACTAGAATTATTGTTGCTTGTATGGCTCTTCATAATTTTATTCGAGAGAGCAGAATTGCGGATAGAGAATTTGATGCCTGTGATGCGGATAAAAATTATAACCCAATGCATAGTTCTTCGGCATCAGCATGGCCAGAAGATGAACCTCTTGTTGAAGATGTCAACATGAATGCCTTACGTGATGAATTAGCTCATGCTTGATTTGTAAAAATAATGTATTTGTATCATTTGTGTGCGGGAGGAGGCCACACAAGAGCCCGCCACACCAAATCCGGCTGAAAAGATGGTTTAAATGAACCAAATGATTAGAAAAGTATATTTATTGTTAATCTAACCCTTACATCCAAACACCTTTTGAGCTAGAGTTAGTTCAGGGCTAGTCTAGAGCTAGAAACTAGCTCTAACCTCTAGCCGACGAGGGCCAAAGTAGATGGATAATTAAGCCGGCCAAATGCAGCATTGCTTAGTGGTCTATAAAAAAGCACTCTACCCACCTAAAGACAACCACACCCAGACCATGCAAAGCAAGCAAGCAGAGATGAATAAAGAAAGCATGAAGAAAAGATGGCCATGCCGTGTGTAAAGAGACCTCATCTCACGCACTTGCCACTTGCCAGCCGCCACTTGCCAGCCGCCACTAGTCTACAGTACGTAGCAGTAAACCAAGCAAAGGGGCCGTTGCCAACCCCACCTCCGAAGTCCGAACGTTCGAAAAGCCGCCCCCTTCCCTCCTCCACCTCACCGCCTTTTCCCGCACTCGCCTTGCTTCGCCTCCTCCGCTTCCCGTCTTCCTCCCCACCAATCCCCAGCACCCCCAAACGCAGGCGATCGATCGCCAAAAGGCAAAAGCCCGCCTCGATCTGCGGCCGCCGCAGAAAAGCGGTAAAGCTTAGCGGCGAAGGCGATCGCCAAAGCCAAAGCGAGGCGAGATAAAAGCCGAGCGATCGCGATGGCGCTTCTGAATGCTGGCCCTGCCGCCGCAGCGGCCTCCTCGTCCTCGTCCTCCGCTCCTCTGTTCCGCGCGGAACGATGGAGCTGGAGATCGTCGAGGTGGGCCCGTCCAGCCGCCCGCTGCGCTACGTCTCTCGCCCGCCCCCTCCACCTCCACCTCCACCGCCACCGCCGCAGCAGCAAGGGGAAGCAGGGGACGCCCATGCGGCGGTGCCCCTGGTGCAGCAGTTCGACAGCGAGAAGCTCCCGCAGACGCTCGTCTCCGAGATCCGACCCTTCCTGCGCGTTGCCAACCAGATCGAGGCCGAGAACCCGCGCGTCGCGTACCTGTGTAAGTTCTGTTTCACGTGCGGTCACGCACTGCTCGTGCTTCCTCTGCCTTCCATCTGTTCGTCCCTTCTCACCGTCACCGTGAGGAGGCCAGCTGCTGTGCCGGGCCCGGCCGGCGCGCGACACACCTGTTCGTGGAAATGCCCGGCAAGGAAGCTGCCGGCGGCCTCATCCTGGTTCCAAGTTCCAACGTCTGCCCTGCATACGTCTACTTCATGGTTTTGGATGTTTGGGGTTGGTGTCACGTCCGAAAGCATGCACGTTCGTCTGGCTCTGATTCTGATTCCATTCCATCCATCGGAACTAGTGATCTTTCAGCTATTGGACCAGACAGAAGATTCCGCGGTTGGTTTTGTTACCATCTGTCTCCGTCTCAGAATATTCTGCCTCCTCCTTGATCCTCCCCCTCTGGAAGGTGGTAGTTGGTCACGATGAGTTTGTCTTTCCTGATTTCAACCACAGATGCTTCGTGCTTCCTGTGCACCTTGGCTTCGGTGACAGAGACACTGTTTCAGTTAAGCGTATTACCTTGGAGATTCTGCAAGGGGAAAGTGGGCGCTTGGCTGATTGAGGCCCTGTTTGGTTCCAGGGACTAAAGACTAGAGACTAAAAGAGGACTAAAAGAGGGACTAAATAACATGTTTGGTTTCAGGGACTAAAAGGGACTAAAGGGCTGAACAAAGAGTAAAATATCCTTCTTCTTCCTTTGGACATAGGTGAGGGAGGAGAGGGAGGGAGGGATAAGGGCTGTAAAGTTGGTCCATTAGTCCTAAAAAGCCTCTCCCAAGGGACTAGTGGACTAGAGACTAAAAGTCCCTCTAGTAGTCCCTCCTATTTGGTTAAAAGGGACTAAAAAGTAGTCTTTAGTCTCTAGTCCCATGGAACCAAACAGGCCCTTAGAGCACATCATCACCTGGAATATTCTGTGATTCCGCTTTTTTGTGGTGCCGAATTGGGTTTTAACTGCTACATTCTAAAGGGTAGATATTTTCTGAGGAGAATCACATGCCAATTATTTACTGTCAGTGGGTCAACTTCAAGTTTCTCCTGCACAGAACATTCTTCTGCCACCTCCACTCCATGTAATTTCTTCTGCTCGACCAAGCGGTTTGTTGGAAGCCTTGACGTAGAGTTTGTTAGATCTGCACGCAAGCCATAACACCTCAATTTTTCTGCTGCGGTTGATCAGTTACTTCCATCTGGTGGTACACCTCATGCTGTTATATCACCCTGAGAGATTACTGAGAACTCTTAGCTCATGAAGCGCCACAGTTACCACTTGCTTCTCTCTGTTGGAACACATCACTACAATGATTCAGTGGATGCTATAGCTGAGGCAGCATGAGCATTGCACAGAAGAACTGCTTCTACAATAGTTTGAATCTTTAAATCAGCTTTTCTTTTGCCAGGTCGGTTCCATGCATTTGAAAAGGCTCATACAATGGACAAACTTTCAGCTGGGAGGGGTGTTCGGCAATTTAAAACTGCACTTCTTCAGAGACTTGAGCAGGTGCACTCATTATGGGGATAAGTTAACATGAGCATATAGTGTATTTACATTTTACTAGTTTTTTGATGATGAAAATTAAAAGCATCACACAATCACATACATATATAAGAACTTTGAAAACTTGTCGTGGATCATCTTTTTTGCACTCATAATTTCAGGTATACTCCCTCCGTTCCAAATTATAGTTCGCTTTGGCATTGTCCTAAGTCAAGCCTCTTTTAACTTTGACCATTTTTTAAGCATATATTAACATGTACAAGTTCAAATAAATGCATTATCAAAACATATTTCATAGAGAATTTAATGAGCCTAATTTGACGCTGTAGATGTTGGTATATTTTCTATAAAACTTGCTCAGAGGTAGAGAAGTTTGACTTAGGACAAAGCCAAAGTGAACTATAATTGGAACAGAGGGAATATGTATTTAGTCAAAAGACTCAAAAAGTTCCGTTGATGATTAATGCGCCTCATATTGGATGTGGTTATAAAACAGGATGAGAGCAGCACCAAATCAAAGATGACACAAAGAGGTGATGCCCGAGAGATGAAGTTATTCTTTGAGAAGTAAGATTATTTCTCATATACATATTGGTTCCGTAGAGCACTTCTTATGCAGCATTGTCATACCCCTGATCCCACTAAAAAAGTAACTCTTATTCATTTTTTTGGTAGGAAAAAGCAAGCCAATGCACATGAACTCTTGCCTGTCCTGGCAGAAGTGCTGAAGGCTCTTCTCAGCGGAACTGGCTTGGAGGTTGTGAGATTTTTGACAAAATGATATTATTGGTGATATTGTTCTCAATATTTAACATTTTTACAAAACTGCAGGGCCTTGTTGCTAGTGAAGATTTTGCAGACTTATTTCGATATAATATTCTTCCACTCCATCCTAGGTTAAGTCAAAAACCAATCATGCTTCTCCCGGAGGTTTGCCTGTTTTTCTACTCAAAAGTACCCTTTTGTCCTGCACTCTACTATATTTTCACTTTTCAGTATGACATAATGGGCTAATGGCCCTGATTCTTTTACAAAATGGGGAGGACTTGTACTGGGTAGATCTGGTTGGTATTTATTTACCAAGAAAAAGACCAATACATATCGCAGGATATGCTTGTTGTACAATAATAGTGACAACTAGGTTTTTCCTTAACTATAACAGCTCATTTGTTTCTAACAAAGAGTAATATACATCACTAATCCTTCGAAATAAGTTCCCTTTACTTTGATAGTGAGTTAGTGAGATTGCATTGTGTTATTAGCAGTAGTTCCATTTTAATTATACTCCCTCTGTTCCAAATTATAAGACTGGCTTTTCTAGATACATTGCTTTTGTTATGTGTCTAGACAGTGTATATGTAAGTGCATAGCAAAAGCTACGTATCTAGAAAAGCCAAAACGTCATATAATTTGGAATGGAGGGAGTATTATATAAGTCGGCTTGTATAAAGTTGGTACGATATTCTCCTATTCAGATCAAAGTTGCTGTCTCCGCGGTGTTTAGTGTTCGCAGTCTTCCATCAGCCAACATGAAGGATGAAAAAAATCATACAGATATTCTTCGATGGCTGCAAAGTTGGTTTGGATTCCAGGTAAACAAGCTATTTGGTTTCATGCGAAATGCTTAGATTAATATGGATGTTTTTTTGTACTACAGCTAGATAAAGCCTTTCATTTTCTTTGATTAGAAAGGAAATGTCGCCAACCAAAGAGAGCATCTAATTCTATTGCTTGCAAATGCGCATGCTAGATTGAATCCCAAGTCATCCTCTGCTCAAATGGTACCCACACATGACTAGTTTTCTTTATCTATCTTTAATGAGAATGCCATTTTCATATATCTCCTTTCAGCTTGATGACAGAGCAGTAGATGAATTGTTGGCAAAAACATTTGAGAACTATCTGACCTGGTGCAAATTTTTGGGGCGAAGAAGCAACATATGGTAAAATGATGCAGTTTTTCAATTTCCTAGACTTGGCTTCAAATAATTGGATATATGTATTGTCTTGCTTGCACTGCAACTGCTTGTGTTGCACCTTCAGGTTGCCCTCTGTGAAGCAAGAAATTCAGCAACATAAACTTCTATACATAGCTCTTTATCTTCTTATATGGGGAGAAGCATCAAACTTACGACTAATGCCAGAATGCTTATGCTATATTTTTCATCATGTAAGTAAAAAAAGTTATGCCTCTGATACTTTTATCGTGCTTCTGCGGTGCTAATGATATAAACCATTTATATTGCTCTATTTCTCTTGGTATCATTTCTGGAATTTGTATTTTACTGTAGTTTTTCTGGTCACATAACTTACATTGCTGGTAATTAAAAGATGTCCTGTAAATGCTCCTACCAGAATAATCTATTGATATGAAATTACTTCTTTTTTACCAGTATCCTTTTACATTAATTTGTTTGACTTCTTTTTTAGGAATAAAACTGTGTTTCACTACAAGCAGTTTGCTGGTAGGTCTGCATAAACTGTAGATTCTTTTGCTCAAATCCTTGCTATACCTATACTATTTAAACTGTTATAAAGCAATGAAACCAACATAGTAATGCATAATTACAGCAAGTTGTAATTTCTGCTTGCTCTGTTTTCGATACAATACGATCAACGTTTCATGTGCACTTCCTCTTTTGTATTTTTGCCCCCTTTTGAAATAAGTGAGATGGGACATTCTTTAATATATACTTCATTCTGAAACGACTAGAGACATGCAAGTTATTCCCAATCTCGTTTCATGATAATTCCCCATAGTTAGCTGCTTTAGTTAGCAGTGAATAAAAGATTCTGAAGTGAATGTGATTTGACATAAAGTCTAAACCAAGACAAAATAATAGGTCAATGGGAGATATAAAAAATCATTAGTGAATACATATAGTCACAGATGAGAACATCACTGCTAGTTCTTGCTGATCCATAGTAAGTTCGGAACTCATTTTTTGAGTAAAACATATACCACCCCATTATATTGAAATATTGGAATAAAGATCGTAACTCAGTGCCTGCAATTTCCTTACAGAACTGGCAGATGTTCATACAAGCCATTAATATGAATGGTATTGGGATGATTTTTTTATGTAAGAATCAAATTTAAGTGAAGGTCCTACTGCAATCTGAATGTTTGCTAAGGTCTTGCGTTTCTAATGGTATAATCGAAACAGGAAGTTGATTAACTTGTTTATATGTTTCTCAAAATAGCATATCTGGTTACTCCTTTCTATAATAATTTACTTTAAGTGGAACTCACTTTGAGAAAACAATAATGACATTTTTTGTTTCAGATGTCATATGAACTATATGGAGTGCTCTCTGGGGCTGTAAGCTTAATAACTGAGGAAAAAGTCCGACCTGCATATGGAGGAGATGATGAATCATTTCTAAACAATGTAGTGAAGCCAATATACAATGTCATATTTCAGGTCCACATTACCTTCTTTTCAATCTTTAATCCATATATCTTTAAAGTTTGTATTTACAAATGACTGCCTTTCTCTATTTATTTAATGAAGGAAGCACAAAAGAACAAGAACGGAGCATCTGATCACTCAACATGGAGAAACTATGATGACCTCAATGAATTCTTCTGGTTAGATACTATGCTTGTGGTATAGCTTCTGATTAAAATATATATTTTTCGAACGATTAAAAGATATACTAAATGTTTTATAATGCAGGTCTGCTGATTGCTTTAAGATTGGTTGGCCCATGCGCCTTAACAATGATTTCTTTTTCACATCAAGTGCAACTAAGGACTCTCAGGTTTCCTTTGACAAACCGTAGCTTTATTTGTGCGTTCACGCATGCTCTTGTTTCCTATTTTATCTTTTTAGCTTATACTTTCTACTTCTTTCTTGAAGTGTTACTTCCTTTATATTCAAGATATTTTTAGGCTAACAAATGAAATTTGTTAGTGGTGGCTATATAGCTATCCGATCAACTCTTTTGGAATTAAGCAAAGATTAAACCCGCCCAAGAAATCTCACCCTCTCTCTCTATGCTCTTTACGCTCACGCCTCACTCTGTTTCTCTCTGCCGAAGGCTCTTTGAATCTCCCTTTCTTTGATCCCATCTGCAGAAATGTAAACACATTTTTCAGCTTCAATCAAGGCCGAATAAAAAATCTACAGCTAACCTCTCTTGATGCAATGACGTGCAGATCTCTTGTGTGTTAGAGTGAAGATAATCTACAGCTGACCAGATCATATGAAAGAACACAATAATGTATAGGCAAATGGAAACTGAAATTCTGAAGTAATTTTCAAATAGCTGATGCTTACCTTAGCTGTCTATTCAACTAAATCAATGCACATAGGTTATATCCCTTAAGGGCTTATTGAAACTTGGCCCATGTCGTGGACGCTAAAATGGCTCATTTGTGCTGGTGGGACAAATTGTGATATAAGTTGAGATTGAGACTGAGTATTATATAAATCTACTGGAGCCAAATAGCAACTTCTGTTTTTTTTAAAGCAACTGAGTTAAGATAGAAAAGAGTTGGCCCAGTTTATATAAGGAAAACCGAGCCCGATGGTTAAAAGCAAAATCAGCAAAGACCCTAGCATCAGCAGCATGGCCAAAATGACCAACCCAAAACGATACCGTCCACCACAAGTCATCATTGCCGAGCTCAAAAACGCAGCCGAGCGGCTCCGACTTCTTGCAATGGATCGAAGCCCAAGCCTCAAAGTCAAAACACACACCTTCAAGGAAAACTAACACCACCCTGAAGAGGTTGTTGAATGTCATTGTTGCCGAGCTTTGTCGAACCCCACAATACAACAGCTCCAACTACCATAGCACACTCTTCCAAGCAAGTCAAGCATCCCTGCATGGTACGGTGCAACACCAAAAGGTAGAGCGTTGTTGAAATTAGCAAAAGCATCCATTGACCAGGAATGTCACCTCAATGACACCCCAACATTTAGAGCGACACCCGTGGGCGTCACCATCATTGGCTCTGGTCACACCGGCAAAGCCTTAAGCCTTGAGCCATTCCTCCATGTTCGCCATGTCAAGTTGTGGCACTCCAAGAGGACGTCATCCATGATGCCTCACATGAGCGCAACCCGCCAACACCGTGATCCAAGCGCCAAACCATGGGCCCTGTCGACCTTCTCATGCAGGTCGAGAAAACCCCTGAACCCCCATAGCCCATGTGAGAACGACCATGACCGGGGCCGGCCCTTAGACCTGTGCTTTGGCGTGGGACGGACGAGGGAATTTTTTTTAACCCCAACCTAAAATTTGCTCCCACGGGGAGTTGAACCCAGGACCTGAGAAGTGCTACTAGAGCCACCTAACCACCTCAGCTAGAGATTCGATTGCTTACTTACTACTCATATAGCTATAATCATGCATGGATTTTAGAGATGTCGCAATCAACATTTCCTTTTGTGGAGTTCTTTTCCTTATCCTTACTATCGTTAACATCTCTTGCTGTTTAGGTTCTTTGTGGATCAAGGTTATCAGGTGTGCCAGATGGCCTTGGAAACTGTGCTAGCTGTGTTCCGCTAGTGTCACTACACACATCTCAGCACAATGAGCAGCTAAATCCCCAACTGCCTCATGAGTCATCATCAACAGAAAACTATCTTAATGCAGAAGCAGCTGAACAAAGACAACAGGTAACTTTTATTTTAAAAAATGAGCACCCCTAAAAAATATGTAATATTAGAATTATATAGCCAGTCTTATGTACTTATTTATGCACAAATCTATTTTATTGACTTGAATTGACCCAACAGGCTTAATAGTTATGTATGCACCATACTCTGATTCTGTGATTGCTTCACAACTCCACTGTATTGCTTGAATATTATCACACTGTATACTGCACTTATTAGAATTCTCAAGGTATAAAAAGTCTGAACAACCACTTTCTACGTGCTTTGATATAATTTGCCATGCTGTAATCTCTGTGATGCATGTTTTTTCATGTACATGCACGACTCAAAGGATGCTCATGTTTGGGTACATTTGTTTGATTTTATTTTATTTTTAATTGTTTACTCCCTTCCCCAGACCCCACTCATGTGGGAGCCTCCGGCACTGGGTCTGCCCCTTTTTTACTTGTTCAACAACAAACAACAACAACATAGCCTTTCAGTCCCAAGCAAGTTGGGGTAGACTAGAGTTGAAACCCACCAAGAGCCCCAAGTCATGGTTCAGCCACTTCAATAGCTGCTTTCCAAGCACTCCTATTCAAACATAGATCTCTAGGTATATCCCAAGCTTTTAAATCTCTTTTTATTGCCTCCCCTATATCAATTTCGGTCTTCCTCTATCTCTCCTCATATTATTAGCTTGGCTTAGGACTCTACAATGCATTGGTGCCTCTGGAGATCTCCTTTGGACATGATCAAACCACCTCAACCGATGTTGGACAAGCTTTTCTTCAATTGGTGCTACCCCTAGGCGATCACGTATATCATCATTTCGAACTCGGTCTATTCTTGTGTGACCACAAATCCATCGCAACATGCGCATTTCTGCAACACTCAGTTGTTGTACATGTCGAATCTTTGTAGGCTAACATTCTGCTCCATACAACATAGCCGGTCTAATCGTCGTCCTATAAAAAATGCCTTTTAGCTTTTGTGGTACCCTCTTGTCACAGAGAATGCCAGAAACTTGTCGCCACATAATCCACCCTGCTTTGATTCTATGGCTAACGTCCGCATCAATATCTCCATCCCTCTGTAGCATCGATCCTAGATACCGAAAAGCATCCTTCTTAGGCACTACTTGACCTTCCAAACTCACATCTCCCTCCTCCTGTGTAGCTCCGCCAAAGTCGCATCTTATGTATTCGGTTTTAGTTCTGCTCAATTTAAAACCTTTAGACTCAAGGGTCTGTCGCCATAACTCTATTTTTCTATTTACTCCTGCCTGGCTTTCGTCCCCTAACACTATATCATCAGCGAACAACATACACCAAGGGATATCCCCTTGTATGTTCGTGGTAACCTCATCCATTACCAAGGCAAAGAGATACGGGCTTAAGGCTAACCCTTGGTGAAGTCCAATTTTAATCGGGAAGTAATCTGTGTTACCATTGTTTATTCGAACCCTAGTCACAATATTGTTGTACATATCCTTGATGAGGGTCACGTACTTTGATGGGACTTTATGTTTGTCCAAAGCCCACCGTATAATATTTTTTGGTATCTTGTCATAAGCCTTCTTCAAGTCAATGAAAACCATGTGGAGGTCCTTCTTCTGCTCTCTAAACCACTCCATAACTTATCTTATTAAGAAGATTGCTTCTGTGGTTGACTTTCCGGGCATGAAACCAAATTGGTTTGTTGATATCTGCGTCGTTCCTCGCAGACGCTGCTCGATGACTCTCTCCCATAGCTTCATAGTGTGGCTCATCAATTTAATTCCTCGATAATTAGTACAACTGTGGATATCTTCCTTGTTCATTGTAGATTGGTACCAATATGCTTCTTCTCCACTCCTCAGGCATCTTGTTCGATCGAAAGATATTGTTGAACATCTTGGTTATCCATACTATAGCTATATCCCCGAGACATTTCCACACCTTGATTGGGATACCATCAGGACCCATCGCTTTGCTCCCTTTCATCCTTTTCAAGGCTTCTCTGACCTCCGATTCTTGAATCCTCCGCACAAAGTGTCTATTAGTGTCATCAAACGAGTCGTCCAGCTGAACGGTGGTGTTATCGTTCTTACCATTGAACAATTTATCAAAATACTCTTGCCATCTATATCTGATCTCATCCTCCTTCACCAAGAGCTGCTCCCTCTCATCCTTTATGCACTTGACTTGGTTGAAGTTCCTTATCTTCCTATCGCGAGCCCTAGCCATCCTATAAATGTCCTCTTCTTCCTTCGTACTCAAACGTTGGTAAAGGTCCTCATAGGCCCACCCCTTTGCCTCACTCACCGTTCGTTTTGCAGTCTTCTTTGTCACCTTGTACTTCTCTATGTTGTCTGCACACCTGTCATGATACAAGCGCTTATGGCACTCCTTTTCCTTAATAGCCTTTTGCACATCTTCATTCCACCACCAAGTGTCTTTCGAGTCGCATCCGCTCCCTTTGGTCACTCCAAGCACCTCTGAAGCAACCTTCCGAACGCATGTTGCCATCTTCTCTCACATGTTGTTTGCATCGCCTTCATCCTTCCAAGAGCCCTCTTCAATGACATTTTTCTTAAAGACCTTTGATGCCTCCCCTTCTAATTTCCACCACTTCGTTCTAGCAACTCTAGCTTGTTTGTTCCCACAAGCATGCACCAGAAAGCGGAAGTCAGCCACCACTAGCTTGTGTTGAGCGACCACACATTCTCCAGGTATCACCTTACAGTCCATGCATGTTCATTTATCCCTCCTTCTAAAGGTCACTAAATGGGACTGTCTCTTACGAAAGAAAGTGTTAGCTATCATCAGGTCAAAAGCTATAGCGAAGTCTAAGACTTCCTCTCCCTCCTGGTTCCTACTACCATATCCGAAACCCTCATGAACCGCCTCGAAACCCGCACTTGATGTACCTACATGGCCATTAAGATCACCTCCTATAAAGAGCTTCTCGCTACTAGGGAAGCTCTAACCAAGTGATCTAAATCTTTCCAGGAAAGCCGCTTAGCATTCTCATCATGACCTACTTGGGGGGCATACACACTAATTACGTTTTAGATCATATCACTAATGACAAGTTTAACTAAGATGATCCTATCCCCTTGCCTTCTCACCTCTACCACCATCCTTGAGGTTGTCCCATGTGTACCAGAGCTTGAATCCGGTATTGTCCACCTCCTTCGCCTTCTGCTCCTTCCATTTAGTCTCTTGGACGCATAAGATATTTACACGTCTCCTAACCGCTGTGTCCACTAACTCTTTTAACTTACTCGTGAGGGACCCTACATTCCAGCTACCTAAACGGATCCTAGTTGGCTCGACTAGCTTCCTTACCCTTCGCACCCGCCGATGTAGGTGTGAAGACCCTTACTCATTTTGCACCACACCCGGGCACCGATGTGGCACGCAACTAAGGATGCGACGACTCGATCCTTGCTCACTTGACACTGTGCCCAGATCGCGACACGACGCGTCACGGGGGTGACGACCCGGCCCTTGCTCATTTAACACCATACCCGGGTTCCGACATGGTGCGTCGCTAAGAGGGTTACGCCCCAATGGGATTCTTTTGGGTTTCATCTCCATAAAAGTGGCTAAGTTTTTACATTGGCTCGCCGCGCCTAACACAACCCTCCTCCTTTTTTACTTGTTGATCTGCATTTTTTTTTGTGGTACTGCACAGCAAGCTACGAGTTCCAGTTCTCAACAGAGATGGTTGGGAAAGACGAATTTTGTTGAGGTCCGTTCTTTTTGGCATCTCTTCAGAAGCTTTGATAGGATGTGGACACTCCTTGTGCTTGGGCTTCAGGTTTACTTTCTATCTTTAATGAATGAGTCGACGCATTTAGGATTACTTTCATAATTCTGTCAGACCTTTTGGCACATTTCCTTATTCATTTTATTTTCAGGTTCTGATAATAATGGCATGGCATGGATTAGGAAGCCCTACTCAGTTACTTGATCCAATAATTTTTGAGGATATTCTGAGTATTTTCATCACCAATGCGGTACTTCGAGTTATTCAAGGTTGTCATGAGTTTTGTATTGTGTGTATATATTATCAGTTATTATGTTATGGAAACTAGTGCTTAATAAACTGAAATACCTAATTCCCCTTTTCACTATCTGTATTAATGGTAGATGTACCTACTTTTTCTTGCAGTCATCCTTGACATTGCTTTCTCATGGAGAACCAAGGGAACAATGAGAGTTGATCAGATACTAAGATTTACTATAAAACTTTCTCTTGCGGTGGCATGGGCGATTATTCTTCCTATATTTTATGCTAATTCTCAAAATTATAAGGCTTGTTCAACTAAACGGTCTAAAGCCTTTTTGGGAATGTTCTGCTTGTCAAAATATATGGTGGTTGTTGCATTGTACCTTGCAAGCAATGTGGTTGGGATGGCATTATTTTTTGTCCCAGCTGTCACCAACTACATAGAGACATCTACATGGAGAATTTGTAATGTGTTGTCATGGTGGTGTCAAGTATGTTCTTTCTCTCCCCATTTGTTTAAGCTTGTAATTTAGTATAACAAATTATATTTTTCGTAAAACTATTCAGATGTATCGTCGTGATATTTTATATCAGATAACTTCAGTACATTTAAAGTTCTAAAAGATTATACTGTTTTCACGTAGGTTATACCTCTTTGTACTTCACCTGATAGCTTTCATATCTTGTTATTAAGCCCTAATGATCATTACCTGTGCAGCCACAATTATACGTTGGACGAGGAATGCAAGAAGGACTAGTATCTATACTGAAGTACCGTATCTGTTGACATTTGTATTACTTTATGTCAGCCATTTAGTATGAGCTTAATCATTCTATTTATACCTCACAGGTACACAACTTTTTGGATGATTCTATTGTCATGCAAATTTTTATTCAGCTACTACTTTGAGGTAATATTCTCTCTCACACATGCACTGAACATGATCCTAGTTACAACTAGAAAAGTTATGTTTGTTGTTGTTAGTTTCTTACTCTGCTTCCTGATGCATTGTTTTTTAAACAAAATATATACAGATTAAGCCACTTGTGGGACCAACGAAAGAAATTATGAAGATCAATGTGAACAAATATGAGTGGCATGAATTCTTTCCACAAGGTCCTCCATATGCTATCTTGATTTTTGTGTTTTTCCTTACTTTCTGTAATATTATTATATTCGCACTGTCAAATTACAGTCAAACAAAAATAATGATACCATACGTCTCTTGCACCAGTCAAGAGTAATGCTGGCGCTATTCTTGCTGTATGGGCCCCTATAATTCTTGTGAGGACTCTATTCTTGCAGTACTTATAGTTTTAATTGTGCATATGCCTCTGTATCTGGGATTATCTAATTTTTTTTCTCCCAACAGGTCTATTTCATGGACACACAAATATGGTATTCTGTATTCTGTACCATTTTCGGTGGTATGTGTGGTATTATCCACCATCTTGGTGAGGTGAGATGAGGCATCACTTAACATGGGTACTCATTTCAGATGCCTATAGTGTACCACATTGTTAACTCCTATACTCGTCTAGATTCGCACAATGGGAATGGTGAGAAGTCGGTTTTGTTCCTTACCAGAAGCCTTCAACATGTCTCTTGTTCCTCCAGCAATGCCAATAGAGAGAAAGGGAATGCCTTTTAGTTTCTTGGAGAAGAAAATATTCAAGGTGAAAAATGTTCATGTCATTTTTTGAACTACCTGAAGGTGCCTTTTCCCCTTATGTGCATTCTTTTTTTCAAATGATTCCTCTTTTCAGAAATTAGGTAAAGATGAAAGACATGACCCAACAAAGTTTGCACTGGTTTGGAACCAGATAATAAGTAGCTTCCGTTCAGAGGACTTAATAAGTAATAGGTACACTTTGATTACTCTGCTGCAACTCATGTATCACCAGATTTGTAAAGAAAAATGTTTTTTTTTTCCAGAGAGATGGATTTGATGACAATGCCCATGTCACTAGTACATAGTTCTGGTTCTATCTGTTGGCCATTGTTTTTACTTGCTAAAAAGGTATGCTGATCTATTCTCCGATACATGACATCAGTTTGGGTGACATGTGTTAACCATCTTTTGCTACACCTTCATAGTCACCTTCATAGTGTTGAAGTTCACATAACCTATTTATTTTGATACGTTAATTTTCTTGTTTCCACAATCCTTTGACAGATATGATGCGTCTCACAGTAAGCACATTATCATGCAAAGGCAAATTTCTCAAATATAATATTATGTAGGATTACTCAAAATAAAGCTTGGCTACCATAGAATTTGTGTCACTTAAGTTCTTAAATTTAGAAAACATTACTTTATGAGAAGATTTCAGTTAGGCTAGATGTTCTTCATTTATAAAGAACAACTTGCAATGTTTGGTCACATGTGCAGTCTGGCATATATTGGGTACTTCTATCTCAGCCAACAAATATTTAGCTACACTCTTATATTTGTTTTGATTACATTGTAGTTTTCAGAAGCAGTGGATATGGCAGCGAATTTTACTGGGAAAAGTGCTCAACTCTTCTGGAAAATTAAGAAGGATCACTACATGTTTTGTTCTATAAATGATTTCTATGAACTGACAAAAAATATTTTCAGATTTCTCATTATTGGGGAGACAGAGAGGAGGTAATTCAATTTGATCCTAGATTATCTCCACTAGTTATTTTGCCCAAGCTTGCAGGTTTGGTAGTATATGTTCCTGTGAATATTATTATGATGTTTACAGATTGTATTCAGGGTGGTAGCTGCCATATTTGATGAAATAAATAAGAGTATTCAAAATTCAAGCCTGGTGACTGATTTTCGGATGGATCAATTGCCTTCACTGTTCCGCAAATTTGACCGGTTGGCTGAACTTCTGGTAATAACTGAACTAGAACTATCCCTGTTTTATTTATCGTGGTTTATACTTCTCTGTTGTTACTGTATTTCATATGCATTGTGATTCTAGAAATCTGGACCTTACTTTTTTAGAGCAATGCTAGACTCTGCTTTGATGATCTTTTGAACAAAAGATTACTTTCACAATCTACTTGCCATCCCTCCCTTTTGTATCTTTTTTCTTCTTAATGAAATGACACGCAACTCTCCTGCTTAGTTCGAGAAAAAAAAACAATCTACCTGCCCAGCTATTTATCCCTTTTTTTTTACTGCAACCTTGGCAATGATTTCGGGTTTTGCAATTAATATGTGTTAAAGTGAATTTACAATATATAATAAGTTAGAGGGCACAGCAGCCAAGCCAGCCATGGGAACTGCTCGCGTCAGCCAGGCCTAACAAGCTGAATTGTTGAGGGACTTGATACTTTGATAGCACCCGCACCCACCTTCTCCATGTACTACAGGCGCACCCTGCCGTTGGCTGTGCCATCACTTTGTTGCGGAGGAACCCACCTTCCAACTGAAACCCAAACCATAACAGTTGGGTTGTTGCTTACTCGGCACTCTCACATGTCACACCAGTCACTGTCCAGGACTGAGGCAAAAATGTCAATCAGAGGGTGTATATGTAACTAGAAACCTAGCATATAGTGTAGTGGTAACCTCCCCAGTTGAGGGAGACACTAGCCAGGGTTCAAATCCTGGTGGCACAAAAAATATCCCCTCACCAAAAAACAGTGGTAGGGTGCCGGCCTGTGGCACCTGTGGTTGGTTTAGGCCCTCCTGCCAGAGGGACAGTTGTAGTGGTCGCCAGCCCAGAGGTTGTGATCAGTCCAGGTTACAGTGTGGCACTATAGGATAAAGCTGGGGTTCGGGGATTTTCTTGGTAGGTTTGACTGAGAGCTTCTTCTTAGTGCAATGCCATGGGGCGGTCTTTCCCCAGCAGCTGAGTTTTTAGAAACGCAGCATCACATTTGGAGAACTTCCAAGAGAGGATACATGATTTCTACTTCAGCTCTTTATATTGATGGATAGCCAATACAGTTTTTTTCTTTATCTTGAACTCTGTTAACATGGTACAGGCAGCCCTTTCCATGTCTTTTCAATCCTCTTTGTGTGCCAACCAATATAAATGAATTTTCTTGCATGTGTTACCTAGTTTATAAACAAACAAGAACATCGATGTGAGGTGACAATTCTGCTCCAAGATATTGTTGACATTCTAATCCAGGATATGATTGTGGATCCTCAAAGGTAAGAATTTTTTAATAATAGTTTGATATTTTTATGTATATACCAGTACAATAACTTCCTTTTTGTACAGAATACTGGATGTGGTTAATTCTTCAGAGAGACTGATCTCTGATGATGATGGAGCATTCAGCTACTATGAACCAGAGCTCTTTGCATCAGTCAGCTCAATAACAAACATCCGATATCCATATTCTGATCAGCAAAAAGAACAGGTCTGAGCAAACCTTTGATTACCTGAGGACAAAGGAACATATTATAACTCTTTGAATGATGAAATGGCCTTGCATATTCAGGTTAAACGCCTCTATCTTTTGCTTAGTACAAAAGAAAAGGCTGCGGAAATACCATCAAATTTAGAGGCTCGGCGACGCATTTCATTTTTCGCCACATCTCTATTTATGGATATGCCTGCTGCTCCCAAAGTTCGCAGTATGTTGTCGTTTAGGTAATACTTTTGCTTTCAAAGGATGAACTTACTCCAAGTTACCTTGAATATTCCCAAATTTTGAACCAATGAGGGCTTTCTTTATTTTTTTCATGTCTGACAAATGTGGCCTTCATTGATTTGCTTGTATAATCAACTCATATTATCTGAATATTGATGGCATACACTGCCAAATAAAAGTAGCATAATTTGAACATGGGTTCTACTCAGAGATGAACCAGATCCAAACTATCTGATAATGTTATAAGTCTAAATAGTTCACACTGTATCCCTGAACGATCTCCATTCAGTATCTTCTAGATGTAGCTCAGGCACACCCTATGGTTGCCTGTATATATACACATGCATCTTGTACTTGGCAATCAATCAATCTAATCACATGCAGTTGACTTTGCTTACACTCCTCTCTCTCTCTCTCTCTCTCTCTCTCTCTATCAATTAGAGTTGCTACCTGTTCGTAACATACTATCTCCTTTTAAGTAAATCGCATAGTTCAGTTATAGGAGTCCCATCAGTAACATGGACCACGATAAACCTCAAATGCAACCACAATTAACCAGTTTTTATGATTTTGGCTTTAATCACTTCTGGAACGCACTGAAATAATAACCAATAAGAATAACTATACATAAATACTCCTCTTCTAAATTTTACAACTTTCCCTATAGAAGTTTCCAACCCCCAGCCCCTTTTGTTTGGATCTGGAACTCCAAGTGCTGCAACAAACTCAGAGTTTTCACTTGGCTCCTTCTAATGGATAGGCTAAATACAAGAAATATCCTAAAAAGGAAAAGACACAGACTGGAGGGCAACAACTATAACTGTGTTCTCTGTGATGGCAATGTTGAAGAGACTGCTTTTCATCTGTTTTTCAGTTTCCCTTTCAGTCAAAGATGTTAGCAGCATCTGGGCATTCAATGGAATTTGGCTGCAGGTTTCTTCCAAATGATGGTACAAGCAAAGCAGCAATTCCAGAGTCCCTTCTTCATGGAAATCTTCACCATCGCCTCTTGGCATGGAAATCTTCACCATCGCCTCTTGGCAAATTTGGAAGCAAAGAAATGACACAATATTTGATAGAGGAAGGCCTTCTTTTAATTCTTGGAAGGTTCTCTTTCTTGAGGAGGCTAAACTTCAGGCACATAGATTTCTTGATGAGGCCAAACAAGCTGCTTTTCTTCTTTGTGTAGACCTTCTTGTTTAGTTCTGTTTTGTTTTTCTTTTGGCCTTTTTAGGCCAGCTCCTGCTGTTTGGCATCTTGCCAGACAGGTTTGTACAGTTTTTTTTGCCTCTTTTTAATAAAATCTCTACAGTGGGGGCCTCCCCTTCTGTATTTAATGTTAAAAAAAGAATAACTATACATATTTTCTCGAAAAACGCAGGAGATCTGTTCGTCGTTATATTAAGAACACACTTACACCAAACACACAACACACACTCAACACAACGCACTCACACAGCTATAGCAGCCTAACACGCCTCAGAAAACTGAGGCCGACCCAAACAATACCAGGGGCTAACCACCAGGCAGGGGGGCAGACAGGAGGGATAATCCTCGAGCCCCTGCCGAGGTCCACAACCAACGCTCCTCTCCAGCCATGATTAAAGCCCCAGCAACACTTGGAGCTGACCCATCGAAAACACAGCGATTACGATGGTTCCTGTAGAGACACACCTCACACCCAATATGGGGGGGTGACCTTCATATATATAGCCAATATAGCTGGGTATACAAGGAATACAATCAAGTATACATAGCAGGTGCTAATTATGGCTAATCACACATAGACCTGCCTAATACCCGCCCGCAGTCTAAGCGGGAGGATCCCGGACGCATAGACTGGACCTGAATTCAGTAAATAGCTGTACAGGAAGACCCTTGATCATGATGTCTGCGAACTGGTGAGGGGACGGCATATGAAGAACCCGAACTTGTCCCAAGGCGACCTTCTCACGGATGAAGTGAATGTCAATCTCAATGTGCTTCGTGCGACGATGATGAACGGGGTTGGTTGTCATGTAGATAGCGCTGACATTGTCGCAGCAGACAACCGTCGCCGAAGCAATGGAGACGTGGAGCTCCTGCAGGAGTTGGCACAACCAGCAACACTCGGCCACCACATGAGCAACAACACGATACTCTGCTTTTGCACTGGAGCGGGAGACCGTGGTCTGACGCTTGGAGGACCAAGAAATCAGATTGTCACCGAGGTAGACACAATAACCGGAGGTGGAGTGCCGAGAATCTGGGCAGCCAGCCCAGTCGGTATCGGAGTAGGCGACCAGTGACTGAACAGGGCCGACACCGATGTGGAGGCCGGAGGAGAGAGTGCCCTTCAAGTAGCGTAGGATCCGCTTGATCATCGAGAGGTGCGGCTCGCGGGGATCATGCATGAAGAGGTACACCTGCTGGACGACGTATGTCAAGTCAGGACGCGTCAGCGTGAGGTACTGGAGCGCGCCAGCAAGGCTCCGGTATGCGGACGGATCAGCAACAGGAGCACCGTCGGTTGCGGATAGCTTGGCATGAGTGTCAACATGTGTCGACGTAGAGTGACACTCAGCCATGCTGGCGCGTTGAAGAAGCTCAACGGCGTACTGTCGCTGGGATAAGAACAAGCCGTCGGCGGAGCGAGTGACGGAGATCCCGAGGAAGTGATGGAGTGCGCCCATGTCAGTCATGGCAAACTCAGAGTGGAGGCGCCCAATGATCTGCTAAAGAAATGCCGTCGAGGACGCAGTAAGGACGATGTCGTTGACATATAGAAGCAGGTAGGCGGTACTGGTCCCGTCTTTGTAGACAAAGAGGGAGGTGTCGGAGGTCGAGGCGACGAAGCCGAGCTGGCGAAGGTATGTCGCAAAACGCTGGTGCCAGGCTTGGGGAGCCTGCTTCAGGCCGTAGAGGGAGCGCTGCAACAGACACACATGGTCAGGAAAGGCAGGATCGACAAAGCCTGGGGGCTGCTGGCAGTAGACGGTCTCCTCCAGATGTCTATGGAGAAAAGCATTCTTGACGTCTAGCTGATGAATAGGCCAGGCGCGTGAGGCGGCAATGCTGAGAACAGCCCGGATGGTTGCTGGTTTGACCACCGGGCTGAATGTCTCGTCGTAGTCGATGCCGTGGCGCTAGGAGAAGCCACGAACCACCCAGCAAGCCTTGTGGCGGGCGAGGGTACCGTCGGAGTGGTACTTGTGCTTGAATATCCACTTGCCGGTGACCACGTTGGCGCCGGGTGGCCGGGGCATGAGGCGCCATGTCCCGTTGTCGATGAGCGCCTTGTACTCCTCAGCCATGGCCGCACGCCAGTTTGGATCAGCCAAACCGCTGCGGTAGTTGGCGGGAAGCAGAGACGGAGTGGTTATCGTAGAGAGACCCACATACCGCATAAGCGGTATGACCTCGGACTGGGTCCGCGTGATGCGTCGTTCCTGCTGTACAGGAGGTGCTAGTGGAGATGCGGGCACCTGTGGCTGCTGGACAGGAGCAGGAGCCTGCTGTACAGGGGCAGGAGGCTGCTGGACAGGCATAGGAGCCTGCTGAACAGGTGCAGGAGCCGGTCCAGGTGCTGTAGAAGACCCGTCATGCGCCCGGGGACGCCGGCTGTAGACTAGCCGGATGTCCCGAGCTGGTGGAGCGGCGTGAACAACAGCTGGAGCCGGGGCAGCCGCTGGAGGAGCAGCAGGTGGTGGATCGGCGGCTGGTGGAGCAGCAGGCAGTACGGGGCCGTGAAACACGATCGCGGGGTCGTCGGTCAGCTCCTCAATGAGTCCTTGATGTGGCTGCCCAACAGCAGTGGGCAAAGATGCAGGACGCACCGGCACTGTAGTACCTGCAAACAAAAAATCCAGGTCGCTTGGCGAGGACTTGGAGGGGTAAAGCCCGAAGGGAAAACAAGTCTCATCGAAGACCACATGGCGAGAGACGACGACACGCTGAGTGGCCATGTCGAGGCAGCGGTACCCCTTGTGGGAAGAGGGATAACCGAGAAAAACACAAGCTGTGGAGCGAGGGGAGAGTTTGTGGCGAGCCGTGGCGGTCAAGTTCGGATAACAGAGACACCTAAAGACACGTAAGTGGGAGTACTCGGGAGGTTTGTTGTGGAGGAGGGTATATGGAATGGTGTTGCGAACAGCAGAGCATGGACGCCTGTTCAGAAGATGTGGCTGTGGCGAGCGCCTCAGCCCAGTACTGAGCAGGCATGTGTGCATGGAGGAGCATCGTGCGGCTGATGTTGTTCAATGTTCGAAGAAGGCGTTCAGCCTTGCCATTTTGTGGGGAGGTATATGGACACGAGAGGCGTAAATGAACACCACGGGAAGCAAAGAGAGTATAGAGGGTATTGTTTACGAACTCAGTGCCGTTGTCGGCTTGGACAACTTTGATGGCAAGGCTGAATTGAGTATGGACATAATTGCAAAAATTTGTAATATGTGTGGAGACTTCAGATTTGCGAGTAAGGGGAAAGGTCCAACAGAAATGAGTGAAATCATCAAGTAAAACGAGATAATATTGATACCCGGATACACTGGCAACCGGGGATGTCCATACATCGCAGTGAACAAGTTCAAAAGGCATGAAGCTAAATGAACTGGAATCTGAAAAAGGAAGGCGCACATGTTTGCCAAGCTGACACGAATGACATAAGTGGTGCTCTACTTTATTACAGGTGATGGACGCATTACGACGAAGGATGTCAATGGTGGCGGAGTTGGGATGACCAAGACGGTGATGCCAGAGGTCGGTGGAGATGGCAATGCTGGTGTGTGGAGCGGAAGACGCAACAGGGAAGGTGTAAAGGTCACCAGCACTATTGCAGCGAAGTATCACGCGTCGGGTCGGGATATCCTTGACAGAAAAACCAAGAGTGTCAAATTCTATAGAGCAGTTGTTGTCTGGGACAACTAAGACATTATTAAGATGAAAATTTGACTCTGGTGTATGAAGGACAGACTCGCCACGACATGAAATAGGAAGAGTTTGACCATTGCCAACGGTAATGGAAGAGTAAGGAGGAGGATGGCGAGAAAGGAGTATACCATCCGAGGAGCTCATGTGGGAGGAGGCGTCGGAGTCCAGGACCCAGGGGTGCTGGCCCTGGAGATGCATTTGATTGAGTGCAGCAACAAGACCATCCTGGTTCCACATGGGAGCCTGTTGGGAGACGTGGAGCGACGCAAATGTCGTCGGGGGCTGCGTAGGCGCGAAGGCCGTGTGAGCCTGAGGAGGAGGGGCGCCAAGCACGTCTGGGCGCCAGCCGCCCTGCTGAGCTGAAGGAGGGCCCTGTGGCGCCCATGGATTGTAGCAAATCCAGGGGCCCATGGGTCGGTATTGGCCATTGTGGCCAGCCAACTGGGACGAGTTTGCCACGCCGCCGCGCTGCTGCGCAGGGCCGCTGTTCCAGCCACGCCGGCCCTTGCCCTTGCTCTTGCCGCCACTGCTGTTGCCACCGCCGCCGCCCTTGTTGCTGCTGCCGTAGCCAGTCACGTGTGGGTTGTGTGCACCTCCAGAGGTGACTGTGGCAGCGAGAGCATGACACCCGCCCGGGCTGGTGCAACCAGACCCGGCGGTGGCGAGGAGGGCGGTGCTGGCGACCGTCTTTTCATCGTTGGCGAGACGGAGCTCCTTAAGTGCCAGCATGTCATGGGCTCTGGCGAATGTGGGAAGTACAACGGAGTTGGCGATGTCGTCGGCGGTGTTGGAGAAGCGAGGATTGAGGCCACGTAGAAGGGCGAGGACGAGCTGCGAGTCCTCGACAAGATGGCCGACGTCGCGAAGAGCGGCGGCCTTGATCTTCAGCCGTTGGCCGTACGCCGAGATGGTGCTGTCACCTTGCACCATGGAGTGAAATTCGTTGAGGAGGAAGATGGCGCGCGGCTCCTGGTTGGCGCGGAAGATCCCCTCAATGGCCACCCACAGATCATGGGCGGTTGGATCGGCACCGTCCATGGCGAGGTCGAGGATGGAGTCATTGACGGAGCCGGAGATCCAGCCCCGGACACAGCACTCTGCGGCATCCCACTGAGGATCATCAGGTCGAGGTGGAGCAGAGCCGTCGATGTGCGAGCGAAGGCCGAACTTGCCGCACAGCGACTTGAAGAAGAACGCCCACTTGGAGTAGTTGGATTGAAGGTCCAGTGTAATCGGGATGTGGGACTTGACATTGACTGTGGCGTAGTGGTGAGCCACAATCGGTGCAGCAGCGCCGGCGCCCATGGCACCCATCGTGGCAGCACTGATGGATGGCATGGTGGGAACGCCTGTTGCCGGCAGGGTGCCGGTACCTGTGGCCGGGGAGGAGTCAGAGCCGAGAGAGGGCACTGTGGCCATCGGATGGGAGAGGAGGAGGAGCCGCCGGTGAGGGTGGACGGGCGAGAGGAAGTTGCGCGCGTGGGGGGTGGCTGCGCGATCACGGAAGGAGTCGCAAGGTGGGTGGAAAGAACGGAAGAATAGGATCTAATTGGCTGATACCATGTAGAGACACAGTTCCAAAGAATCCAGGCCCCAAGAATGATTAGGGAATTAATACCTTGTCTACCAGCTCAGAGGTAGCATTACTAGCTCTTTCTCACCAATCAAGAAAGGAGTTTTCCGAAGGTTGTGGGGATAAGGCCTGAAGACCGACCTGTCTTAGCAAAAGAAACCAAAATTCCCTAGCAAAGACGCAGCCGACCAGGAGATGGTTGATGGTTTCATCATCTTGATCACAAAGTGGACAGCATTCCAGGCGGGGCAGCCCACGGCATGCAAGTCGATCTGCCGTCCAGCACTTATTGTGCACAACTAGCCACATGAAGAACTGACATTTTGGTGGACTGTTAATAGTTCTATGTTTGATAATTTTGATACCTGCATCCATCTCAATGGAAAACAGTTGCAATTTACATGTCACTGAAAATAGTTTTTATTTACATGTCATTAAATCCTGACATGACATACTTTATCCAGTGTAATAACTCCATATTTCATGGAAGAAGTGAAGTTTTCGGATGAAGAACTTCATTCAAATCAAGATGAAGCATCCATCCTTTCCTACATGAAAAGGATATATCCAGGTCACTTATATAATGAAATTTTCTTTTGACTGCTACAAAACAACTGCTTGCATGGTTTATATGAAGGCATACTGGATTTCCAATGTTACTAAGATATACTCTGCCTGTCCCAAAATAACTGCACATCTTGTTTTTTGAGGAGTTAATTTTTTTTAAGTTTGACCAAATTTATACAAAAAGTATACTAATATTTATGATGCGTAATAAGTATCATTAGATTAATAGTGATAATAGTTTCTATAAATCTAGTCAAACTTCTTAAAAAATCCTAAAAAAGCGAGATGTGTAGTTATTTTGGGACGGAGGGAATATCAAGATGAGGCATCCATCTTAACCTTACTGAGATTTCGTACTCTTGTGATTTTAGATCAATGGAAAAACTTTCGGGAACGCCTTGGTTCAAAGGTAACAAATGATGAAATTAGATACTGGGCTTCCTTCCGTGGCCAAACACTGAGCCGAACTGGTAATCCAGAGCACATTCTCATCTGTTGTATTACCATTTAAGCCTGCCACCTCATCTCACACCTGTTTTTATTGCAAACTATCTAGTACGGGGAATGATGTACTACAGAAAAGCCTTGAAACTACAGGCTTTCTTAGACAGGACAAATGATCAAGGTGCGTATGGAAATCTTGTCCTAACGAGATTCAGTAATAACTTCTCATTTCTTCAATGTTGGAAATTTATAACCAACTAGAAAGTTAAGACATGTAAAGTTCTGGTAACAATTTTTTATTTCATAAGCTTAATCTCTATTTCTTTGGAAACAGTTTCCACTAATTCAGTTTTGTAAAACTTATGCAGATTTATTTCAAGTACCTATGGCAACTGAACAAGAAAAAAATAAAAGAAATATCCACCAAACATTATCGGCTGAACTAGAAGCGCTTGCAGATATGAAATTTTCATATGTCATTTCATGTCAGAAGTTTGGGGAACAAAAAATCAAAGGTGATCCCCATGCTCAAGACATCATAGATCTGATGATGAGGTATGAAATGACATATATAGCTTTGGAACATAAATAACTTTAGAAAAATGATGATCACTAGAGCCATCCTGATCTTTTTCACTTGTGCCGTATGAAGGTACCCTGCTCTGAGGGTTGCTTATATTGAAGAGAAGGAAGTCATAGTAAATAACTGTTCTCATACGATTGAAGGGAAGGAAGTCATAGTAAATAACTGTCCTCATAAGGTTTATTCCTCTGTGTTAATAAAAGCAGAGAATAATTTGGACCAGGTAATGATCTCATATTAAGACTAAAACTAGAAAATCTTGTAACATCTAAGATCTATTGAAAGCACCTCTCTTTTATTTTATCATCACGACTATCTCTCATTAGTTATTCAGCATAATTATCATCCCTGTTAAAAAGTCTTGCTTGTAAAGAATATGATTCTCTTTTTCGAATCCCTCTAATCACTTGGTCTTTACTGACTTTTTGGTTACGTCTATAGGAGATTTACCGTATAAAGCTGCCTGGTCCACCTATCATTGGAGAAGGGAAGCCTGAAAATCAGAACCATGCCATTATCTTCACTCGTGGGGAAGCTCTACAAACAATTGATATGAATCAAGTAAATTATACATGCTTCTATAGTTGTGTTATCTATGAATCAAGTAATGAATTGTACATGCTTCTATAGTCATGTTATCTTTTGTTTAAAGATTCTATGTTCCTGTATGTAAATTGATATTAGGACAATTATCTGGAAGAAGCTTACAAAATGAGGAATGTCCTTCAAGAGTTTGTAAGGCGTCCTAGGGACCAAGCTCCAACTATCCTTGGGCTAAGAGAGCATATCTTCACTGGAAGGTCTGTAATCTTACAACACACGTCTTTCAGACATGTTTTTTCTCTTGTGGGATAATTATGATACTATTATTTGTGCAGTGTTTCATCTCTTGCCGGCTTCATGTCATATCAAGAGACAAGCTTTGTTACAATTGGACAAAGATTTCTTGCTGAACCCCTTAGGTGAAAACATGCTTCTTATTCTATCTTATAATGTAGGCAATAATGTCACAGAACTACATTTTTTTTTGTAAGTTCTTATTTCTGGTAGAATTAGCGAAAGAACCTCTAGCTGAGTTGGTTAGGTGGCTTGAGTAGCACTCCTCAAGTCCTGGGTTCGACTCCTCGTGGGAGCAAATTTTCAGGTTGGGGTTACAAAAATCGCCTCGTCTATCCCATGCCAAAGCACAGGTCTAAGGCCCGGCCCCGGTCATGGTCGTTCTCACATGGGCTAAGGTGCCGCTGTGTATGAGTGGGGTAGAGTTTCGGGGGGTTTCTCGACCTTTGAGAAGGTCTTCTTCTTAATGCAATGCCCAGGGGACATTTCTGGTAGAATTATGTTATGTTTTAGACAGAAATCTGACTATATTATTGCAGAACTGCAGATACACATGATGCCAATTTTTTTCTTGATAACGCAGGATACCATTTTAACGTAGATGAGTGGAAAACTGTACATCACCAGACCCTTACACAACATTACAATTTACAACCAACGCACCGTGGACTTAAGAAACAACCCGACTGGGAAAAAGGCTAAGGAAAACAAACACCTAGCCTATCCCCATAAATAGACATGGAGCTCCTTAGCTTCAGCATCAGCAGCCATATAATGACATTGAATGATGGCTGACGAGATTATTATAACTCTTATTTTCAATTTTTCTTATCAAAACGTCACTTTGTCAAAGTTGAATAGGGGTGGCATGTTTAGAATGTTAATTTTTGGAGGTCAGCCAAGATCAGTTGGTCAGAGGTGTGGGTGTACACCCTCTCCACCAAGCTTCATTTCCTCTACTACTTGAATTTGGGTGTCTATTTTCTTATTTGCAATGGCACCTAGTTCCTTCTAGGTTGGTTGAGCCTTTTTTTTTTGCAAAGTGGAGTTTTCTCTTCCATTGTTTGAACTTTATTAGGTGATTTTATAGTCATTCATAGACTGTGACAAATCAATTGGACAAAGCAATGGGGAATCTTGTTGCATTTACTAGTGGAGCTTTTCTTTTCTGAATGCTACTAGCAGAGCTTAGTTAAGGCTAATCATGGCTATGTCCAGTTGCTGACATGTCCCCTTCTTTAGTTAAGTTGCCTAAATATTGTATAGTTCTACTGGTTGTTTAAACTTCACAAACCCCTTTTCATTTGATTGCTTGGGTCACTGACACATGGCCGACAAAGTAGCGAGATATTATTTGGTTCTGCAGGGTCCTGTATACATAGTTCAGTCAGTAGTGGCTCAGGTGAGGTAGCAGCAGTAACACAGGTACAGCATGACACAAATATTGATGAATAATACTGGCTATGGTGGCTGCAAGAAGGGAGCACTACATAAAGAGGGAGGATAAGGCAGTAAGAGCAATTTTGTAGATGCAGAAAAGAAATTACTAGCAAAAGGGCCTCTAGCTCGTCTGTCCCACGCCAAAGCACAGGTCTAAGGCCTGACCCCGGTCGTGGTCGTTCTCACATGGGCTGTGGTGCCGCTGTGTATGGGTGGGGCAAGGATTGGGTGGTTTTCTCGACCTGCATGAGAAGGTCTTCTTCTTAATGCAATGCCCGAGTGCTGTCTCACCCCCCGCAGGTCGAGAAAAGAAATTAATAAGATATATAATCCCATTCAGAGAAAGCTTTGAAATGGGTGCGATACATTCCCTTTCGTAGTTGTAAGTGGAGTTTTCAGCAGTTTAGAGTGCACAGTGACATATTAAACCTTTTTACCTTTAGATAATATCTATACATTTTGATTTCTCACAGATTGATAGTGATGGAAACTTAGTATCAATGTCAGGAGTGCCACCTTTATTAAACTCCAGCTATAATCTTATACGTATAAATAACAGGTGTGAGGATATTGAGGACAGCACACTGTTTTTTTATAAATTTCTAGATATAATATGCATATTGTAAGAAGCCCATTCTGAAGTCAATTTTATTATTCAAATGGCTATTTTCCTTGACTGTAGGGTACGGTTTCACTATGGTCATCCAGACATTTTTGATCGGCTATTTCATTTAACAAGAGGCGGCATAAGTAAAGCATCTAAAACTATAAACTTAAGTGAGGATGTCTTTGCTGGTAAGTTAAAATCTTCCTTCTGTTGAAACTGAAATTGAAATTTAATCATGTCATTTTCTAAAACAAGTGCTGCTTTGGACTACTGTTTACAGGGTATAATTCCATATTGCGTCGTGGGAATATAATTTACAATGAATACATTCAAGTTGGCAAAGGGCGTGATGTTGGTCTTAACCAGATATCAAAATTTGAAGCTAAAGTGGCAAATGGCAATAGTGAGCAAACAATCAGTCGTGATATTCACCGGCTAGGTCGGCGATTTGATTTCTTCAGGATGCTTTCATGCTATTTTACAACAGTGGGATTTTACTTTAATAGCCTAGTATGCTCTCTCTCTCTCTCTCTCTCTCTCTCTCTCATCAAAAGTGTTAGAGTTATCTTAATCATCAAAACCTGAACCATTGTCTAGCATATTTTAAATTCATTATATGTGTATGATTTATTGCTCACGTCTAATTTTCTTAAACCTTTTGGATTCTTGGATCTTATGTTATATATATATATATATATATATATATATATATATATATACACTGTGCCAGCTTTGTTTTGGATTTCACATTATTATAGTATGTGTTTTTTAATTATCTATTTCTTCTGTTGCTGGGATCACTTTTATTTACATGTTTTCATGCAATTGCGGGGTGAGCACAGAGTGATTAAAAAAACTAGATCAACCTAGGAGGACCTAGGTGCATTCTATTAAGAACATAGGCACCCAAATTCGCCTCGATGAGGACTTCAACCTGGGTGGCTTGGGCATACATCCACACCCTCAAACAACTGAGCTAGTTCAGCTTTCTCAAGAACAGGGGGATTATTCTTTGACCTTTTAATAAATGTCTACTGAGTTTTGGTAGATTTTTGTAAAGTATTTTCTGTTTGTCATGTATTTTTACTTCTTATAACTCTTTTTCTCAGTTGGAGTTTCTTGTATTAAGAAAGAAAATTACCTTTAACATACCCTTGTATAAAGATCATAAAAAACTATACCGATTTGATGAACTGTTGAAGGCTATGAATATAATCCTTTGTTACTGTTGTTTTCTTGATACCATGATTGGAATAAAAACTATTAAGTTGCATACACTGACTAGTTCAACCCAAAAGCTTAAGCTGATGGGGAGAGGTGGACAGTTCACTTATATTCCAACAAAAACTATTGCTCTTCTTATATTTCCTTTGTTTGGGCTTTATAATAATGCACCATAGCACTGAGTATTAGTCTAATTGTTCAGTTGATCCTTATGTTGTGCAGATATCAGTTGTTGGTGTTTATGTTTTCCTCTATGGCCAGCTGTACTTGGTTCTCAGTGGCCTGCAGAGGGCTCTGTTACTTGAAGCTCAAACTCAGAATATAAAGTCCTTAGAAACAGCCCTTGCATCTCAGTCTTTTCTCCAGCTGGGACTGCTTACAGGATTGCCTATGGTGATGGAACTAGGTTTGGAAAAGGGTTTCCGTGCAGCTCTGAGTGATTTTATCCTCATGCAATTGCAGTTGGCATCAGTTTTCTTCACGTTCTCTCTTGGAACAAAAGCACACTACTACGGCCGTACTATTCTCCATGGGGGTGCTAAATACCGGCCTACAGGGCGTAAATTTGTAGTTTTCCATGCAAGCTTTACTGAGAACTATCAGTTGTATTCCAGAAGTCATTTCGTCAAAGGATTTGAGTTGATCTTCCTTTTGATAGTCTACCACATCTTTAGGAGATCTCATGTGAGCAATGTGGTGCATGTGATGATCACATACTCAACATGGTTTATGGCAGTGGCTTGGCTGTTTACTCCTTTTCTTTTTAACCCGGCTGGTTTTGCTTGGCAAAAAATTGTTGACGACTGGGCTGACTGGAATAGGTGGATGAAGAATCAAGGGGGCATAGGAGTGCAACCAGAAAAGAGCTGGGAGTCATGGTGGAACGGTGAGAATGCACATCTACGTCACTCAGTATTGAGTTCTAGAATTCTTGAAGTGCTGCTCTCGCTACGCTTCTTCATATATCAATATGGCCTTGTCTATCACCTGAATATCTCTCAAGACAACAAGAATTTCCTTGTGTACCTGCTTTCATGGGTCGTAATTATTGCCATTATTGGTTTTGTTAAGGTATCTACTTCATCTCCAGAATTCTATATTGTTTCATACAATTGAGATCCTTTTTCTTATGCTGATTTTTCTTTCCAAGTCGAATATTCATTTGTTAAAATTGCTGCAGCTTGTCAATTGTGCTAGCCGTCGTTTGAGCACAAAGCACCAACTCATCTTCAGGTTCATAAAACTTTTGACATTCCTCTCAGTGGTTACTTCCTTGATCCTTCTCTATTGTCTCTGCCAATTATCTATCATGGATCTGATCATCTGTTGTCTGGCATTCATACCAACTGGCTGGGGTCTCCTCCTTGTAAGTTTCAACTGGCAGCTCACCATTTTTGCCAAATTTAGTTCCTTTTGCTGCATTACACCCTAATTTCTTCCCATTGTCTTACAGATTGTTCAAGTTTTGAGACCCAAAATAGAGTATTATGCAATATGGGAGCCTATTCAGGTCATAGCTCACGCTTACGACTATGGAATGGGATCTCTGCTTTTCTTCCCGATCGCTGTACTTGCATGGATGCCTGTTATCTCGGCCATTCAAACTCGGGTTCTTTTCAACAGAGCATTTTCCCGGCAAATACAGATCCAGCCTTTCATTGTAGGCAAAACTAAACGGAGATAGCATAACTGATGGTTTTACATGGATGCATATTGGGGATTTGTGAATATGATCTATTGGTTGTCAGCAGGGCAACAAGTTTCTGTACTCTGGTAGCGTAAATGTCGTGTGCAGTGTGACCCATGATTCTTTGGTGTAAGCCTGTGCCAGATCTAACATAGTAATACCTCAGTTTCGGTTTTTGTTACCCTGTAACTTTACATACCGTCAGCATGTTCGTTTTGGTTGAAACGATCGTGGATTATTACTGCTGGCTGGTTTGGTGTGAGAGAAAAATACTGTTCTGGCTTATAATCCACGATCGTTTACTGTTTTGTAAAAAGAAACAGCTCTAGCATTGCTCTTAGATGAGTCACGACTCATGAATCTCATGATACATATACAGTTACAAAGGTACTATCTTATTTCCATGTGAAATACGACCACTCACTGAGTCACTGTACTAGTCCGTTATTATGCTTAACGTGCGGTATTTTTTATTCCTAAAAAATGCTTAACGTGCGGTACAGTGTGCAATACCAGATCATTTGCCACCTTGTACAAACCTTAGGGATAAGAGTTCCCGGAATATATTGGTAGTTCTCATTGCCTTTTTTTTCCCTCCATGTTCTCCATTGATGTGGACCTTTTGTGAGCAAGTTTTTGCTCCAGACCATATATACAGCGACAGAGCCAGCGGTGGGGCTTGGGGGGCTCTAGCCCCCCTACCGATCCTGGGCACGTGGAGCCCCCCTAAGCCATCTCTTAAGATTTTATGTATATATGTATTAGGTATGAGGGGGTAAGGTTAAGAGAAGATAAAAAAGCCTCTATTCTTTTGTTCAGCCCCTCCTAAATTTTTTTCTGGCTTCGTACCTGAATATATATATGGACCTATTTACCTGAAGGGCCTTGGCACATGATGTTATTTGCAATATATTTTATGATAACATTAGGGAATATTGTGATCAACTTCAAGTACAACAAGCTTGACAAAGAATTCATGTGGTTGAACCGCTGCCTGACTGTCGTGATGCAGAAGAAGTTGAGCGCGGGTGTGGCGTTTTGGCATGCAAACGCCTCCAGAACCAATAGGAACCTTGTTGAGCTCATGGATTCCCAACGCAACTGAATCGTGTTTCTTCGTGTGTGGATGCTTTTAAATGGCCGAAGCATATAGTGCAATGTCACAGTTGATTACAGAATGGCCGGAGCCGGTCTAGTCGAATTTAGGCTGCCACAGAGCAGCTAGCTGATTTTAATCTGTCGACAATTCGGCAATGATGGACCCCAGCAGGAGTGTTGTGTTAACATGATATTACTTGGGGCATTTTGTAACCTACTGTTTTATATAGTAATCATAATTTTAGTTTCTTCCAAGTCAATATTTCATTTATTAACTTTGATAAAATGCATCAATATCTACGACATCTAATACTCAGAATATTAAGCATTTATCTGGTATATTATTTTTTATGTTAATATATTTTTTCTCTATAAACTCAATTAAATTTAGAGAAGTTGACTTTAAGGGAGGAGGACTAAAATAACCTACTATACATTTTGCAGCAGGTGGAGCACCTTAGAATTTTTTTTATTTGTGTCATGTAAGGGACACAAAAGCAGATGAAAAAAACTGTCGCCCATAACCTAAATAAATAAATAAATAAAATAAAGGAGACAGGAGGTAGCAGCGAGTGCATAAAGAAGAGAAGTGGTCCATGCCTTGGTTCACCCTAACCCACAGCATATATTAATCCGCAAGGCACTGGGTCTGGGTGATTTAACGTGACGAGATCAAGGCTGGGGGCCGCCGTGCATGTGCTGCTGTCAAAAAGGAACATCGCTCACGAGTACCCCTGCTGGCTGGGTTGGGCTGGTGCATCTCTCTACCTCTACTTGGCTGGTTGGATTGGAAAAACAAAACACAGCTAGGAAGGAACCCCCTGCAGGTAGCGACAGCCGTAGGGACAGCATCAATAGATCGACGCGCATTGGCGCACACGGCGTGCAATGGCGAGCTGAGCACACACGGCGGAACTGGTAGAAGGAAATTGTTTTTATATGGTTACACACACACAGACACAGTGCGATCCAAGGAAGGCACCATACGCATATCGATATGTGCAAAGCAAAGGGCAGCCTGATGTATAGCTAGCTAGTGAACATTGGAGGTTGGAGCAATGGAGAATGCAAAGCGGAAGGCGGCCGGGCGGTGCATGTGAGGCGCATGTGGATCGATCGGCCCTGTTCGTGGGAATGTCCTACGCCCAGCGGGCACATGGCCATGGGGGCGCAACGCATTATTTGAGCGTTGAGCCTGCCCTGCCCCTGCGCCACTTGTTGCTTACGACGCCTCGCGCTTGCTTACGGTCGTCCCCCGGCCCTCTCTTCTCTCTGACTCTCTCTAACCATCACTACTAGTAGCACCTAGTAGCAGTGATTTCTCATGCATGAACTGGTAGTACGAACTACAGTAATAAAGAATTGCTATATATGGGTGCAAGAAAGAATTCGTGATAAATCAAACAGTTGAATTGCTTAGGAGGAGTTGGTAAAATTTCTGCGCTCCACAGCTTCACTTAGCTGTTGCTAGCTGTCTGCTTCCTCCCCCCCGTCATGTGACCTCCCTCCACCCCACCCTTGCTCCTCCTACTTGCCACCCCTTTTCCTCCCGTAATAAATAAAACAAATAAATGGACCCCAACTAACTTTGCCCAGCTAGCTAATTACTGTACCTTTGGATAACTAATCAAAATCGCCAATAGCTTAGCATCAACATTACACATCTTGCTTAATAAGTATCAAAACAATGCTAGTACAAAGGTTAGCTAGGAGAGTAGGAGTAATCCATTTTGACTACAAGAAGTTGAAATCATTGCCCTAGGTATAGTAGACTACTCCTAACCACCTAACCTACCATATCTCTTGGGATCTTGATATGCATAGCCCTAAACACATGCATGATGCTCCGAGAAATGGACTAAAAGGTCCACCAGCTTATTAGTTATAGCTTGCATGCAAGCAGTCTCTCTCACACACTAATGCAATGCAAATACAAATGCAGTGTGATGTGCCCCACCAGGCCATCCCATTGCATGTGCACTCACACACCTCGATATATACACACCATATATCTCTCCACCTACACTCTGCCTGCTCGCAACCAATAACCATATACACCATCAGTATGCATCTCAAACACAGCTAGCAAAGCACACTAGTCCAGCACTCCAGCCTCTAGCTTCGCATTTCGCAAGGACCCAGTCACGCACCCAGAGCAGCAGCAGCGGCGGCGGTACCGGCAAGATCAGCTCCAGAACAAAAGTGATGGCGCAGCTGCCGCCGAGGGCGCCGAGCGCGTTGCCGCAGGACCACTGGTCAGCGGCGGGTGCGGAGTTCCTGGGCTTCGCCGCGGCGAGGCGGGGCGCGCACCGCCGCTCGGCCAGCGACTCGGCCGCGTTCCTCGAGGCCGTGCCCATGGACGACGTCATCGGCGGCGCCGACTTCGACCGCCTCGACGACGAGCAGCTCATGTCCATGTTCTCCGACGTCGACGCGCCGGCCGTCTCCGACGGCGGCGCCGGGGAGAGGGCCGGGGACGCGGCGCAGCTCATGGAAGTCGGGGACGCGGAGGACGGAATGGCCGAATCGTCGTCGGCCGCCGCGCGGGCGGCCGCGGACGGCGTCGCTGACCCCAAAAGGGTCAAGAGGTTAGTTGAATCACTGTAGCTCACTGTAGCTCACTGTAGCGCAGTGTAGCATTTCGTTTGTATTTGGTAATAATTGTTCAATCGTTGATTAATTAGGCTCAAAACGTTCGTCTCGCAAAGTATAACCAAACTGTGTAATTAGTTTTTGATTTCATCAACATTTAGTACTCATACGTACCGTAAGTTTAATACGACGAAATCTTCTTTTTATATAGTGTTAAAATTAAAATTTGGTGAACTAAACATGGCCCAAGTGTGGTGACTCTCTGCTAGTACATTTTACCTTTTCCAAGTAGTTAGTAGTCATCTTTTTCATCTACCAATCTACCATGGTAAAACAGTAGTTCTTTTATTCAAGATTAATTTGTGATTGTGGGGTCACGGCTCAGGAGTGCCTTTAATTTGTCATTTTTCCTGTTCATCTCTTAGATTAGGATTTCCAAATTGAAATTACCGCTGCATAGTTACTGTGGACCACTAATAGTTAAGTCAACTTGCAAGGTCCCCAGAGAGGGGGAGACAAAACAAAGGGGGCTAATTTTCACCAGACGTTGAGAATTGAAAGGGAGGAAATGAGAACTTCAAAATTCTAGCTCTTAAAACTTGAATTTATTTACCCACGTAGCGCACATTTATTCATGAATTCCACAACATTATTGTTCATATAACTTGTACACAATTTGTTTGCACTAAGTCTGTTGAGCAGGAACAAATGCATTTGCTTGGTTCGTTGTCAATCTGTTTCATCACTCAAACAAATACATCCACAAGTATATATATATTGAATTATTGATCGTAATTTCTAACAACCATAGATCATAGATGCGAAGCAATCGTTCCAAAAATAATAACAATTTGACAAGTAGCAATAATTTTTCTCTGTTCCTTGGGGGTTTTTCAGGATATTGGCAAACAGGCAGTCAGCTCAGAGGTCACGAGTTAGGAAGCTGCAGTACATCTCGGAGCTTGAACGGAGTGTCACCAGCCTCCAGGTGACTGCTTCGTTCTCTCTCAGATCATACTCATGGTAGAACAGCACTTGAGCCATTCTGAGATCCATTTTGCTGATCTTCTCTCTGCCGTTGCTAACCGCAGATGGAGGTGTCAGCACTGTCCCCTCGCGTGGCCTTCCTGGATCACCAGCGGTCACTGCTCACCGTTGGCAACAGCCATCTCAAGCAAAGAATCGCGGCACTTGCCCAAGACAAGATCTTCAAAGATGGTATGTATGCTATCGGATCATTCTGTTAACTGTTCAGTTTAGCAGCCACAGTAAGTAATGAATGATTAGGTATCGATTTAAACTGATCG